AAATGAATAAATCATAGATTTTGCAGAATTCTATCATACGATCTCCAGCATCATTTCTATCACCAAGGCCATATTTTCCAACTACTGATCCTTTCTCTTTGCTCCCAACCTTTGCATTCCAATCATCAGTAATGATCAATATATCTTGATTGCATGTTTGATCAATTTCAGATTGAAGCAGTTGGTAGAATTCTTCTATTTCAGCCTGGTCTTCCCTGTAGGCGCATGGATATAATCCTAGACAGCGTTGTACCTCATGACTGATCTGGATATGTTCTTTTTGACAATGAATGCAACACCATTCCTCTTCAACTTGTCATTCCCGGCATAATAAACCATGTGGTTGTCAGATTCAAAATGGTCAATACCAGTCCATTTCAGCTCACTAATGCCTAAGATATCGATGTTTATGCATTCCATTTCATTTTTGACAATTTCCAATTTTTCCAGATTCATACTTCGTACATTCCGTGCTCCAATTTTCAATGGAATTTTACAGCTGTTTTTCTTCATTTTGAGTTGTGCCCCATCAGCAAATGAAGGTCCCATGGGCTTTTCTCCATTCGTGTCATCAAGGTCAACTGTAATTTGAGAAGGCAGCTCTTCCCCAGTCACATTTTGAATGCTTTCCAACCTGAGGGACTCATTTTCCAGCCCTATATCTGATAGTGTTTCTCTGCTATTCATAAGGTTTTCAGTGACAAAAGATTCAGAAATAATTTGTCACTCCTTCTTCCTAGTCTGTCTTCATCTGGAAGCTAATCTGAAACCTGTCCGCCATGGGTGACACTGCTGGTATTTAAAATACCGGTGGTATAGCTTCCAGAATCACAGTAACTCACAAGCCACCACAATACAACATAAACAAAGGAGGAAAGATGTGAAGAGGGAATTTTCTAACCCCCAAGCGTAGTGTGAACATAGGTATATAGGCATGAAGAAGTGTGGCATGCCCTGGTTTAGTTAGTTATTCAATTTGGCAGAAGCTTGAGATTTATGAGCAAAAATGACAAGAGAAGAGATGGGGGGAACAAAGAGCAGGATCACATTATAAAGGGTATTAGGTGCGGTGTGGAGAAGTGGAACCCTGTAAGGTTACCTGAGGCTTTGAAGCTGGATGTTGTTAGAATGGGGTTTGGGAAAGATGATA